CTAAATAATTAAGGAGATTTAAGCCACTTACTTGCTAATGCCGAATGAAATCCTATGGCACTCAGATTGAACGGAAAGTTTTTTATATTAACTCCCAAGCGAGCCCACTAGAAAAGTGAAATTTTAATAACAAGTAGTAGATAGAAATTATGATTGTTACTAATACTAACCAGAACAAAAAGAACCAACAATGGCGCAAGGGACAAAACAGTAAAAAGAAGAGATACAATATGAGGCGGTCTAGGTTCAGGTTCTCTAAAAGTATGCTAAAACATAAACATACATAATGTTAGACACAATACTTCAATTAAAATATATATGTTTTACGCACAGATATCAATCTTTTTGGTTTATAAAAATCTGCAAAAGGTTCAGAAGCATCTGATTCAACTTCAGAAAATTTCAATTTGATGTCACTAAAATGCCAAACTATAGGATTTTTTAACAAAGAGTCACCAATAATTAAATCCATTGAATATAAACCAGAAGCATGTTTGAATGATACCGATTTAACACCTAAGTCCTGGAAAAAATAATTTTTTTAACTAAGCATACAATTTATTGTGTTTATAATACCTACCATATCCAATTTATAATTATTTTGTGAGTCCAATTCGGCAACAAATACACTTTGAGAACCAGTTTTGATATTTGTAAACCTAACAAATGCTTGGTGTACTTGTACATGTTTCTTCACTTGATAATCTTTAATAGCAAAACGTACTATAATTCTTTGCATGTGGTCTGCTTTCAATCGTGTAGGCAATTTTTCACCATATTTCAAACTAAAAACGTGTTATGTTTAACAAAAAATTGGCTCAGCAGAAAATCGAATTATTCATACCTTTGGAGTGATGGGCCTGTTTGTTGATCATTATCAGTTGTCCCAACTTTAAAATCAACAATGTTCACCGAAGAAGCTGATACTTTTACCTCAAGTGGAATAGCTGTATTGCCCAAAAGTGGAATCTTGACTTTTTCTAATGGTGTAGCACTTATCACTATGCTATAGATTCCAATAGACAAATCTGGTTCATTAAAATCTAATTCATATACAGTCCTTAAAACAAAATATAAAATTGGTTAGATAAAAAAAATAATATTATCAAATACATAAGTAATAATTTACTATTTGAATTTAGACATAAACTCTTACTTGTCGGCAGTTGATTTGAACTTATTTTTAGACATAACAACTTTGTTATTTAACATAGCTGATTCAACACCAACAGAAAGAGATGTTGGCAATGGTTCTCCAAGCAAATTGGTGAAACGCACAGAAAGTATTTTTTGTGTATCATCTAGATCACCCATTGGTTTCACAAGTGTAGCAGCAATTGGCAAATGGTACTATAAATATTTTATAAACATTACAATAATAATAAAAGAAACATTACTATAATATTATTGCATGAATTAATAAAAATCAATAAAAAGCATACTTTGTTATTGGACAATGTTTTAAGAGCACTAAGCAAGAAATATGCTCCCTTGGGCGTTTGTACCGATTTACGAGACAAAAAGTAATTACTAAACATAAGAGCTTGATCATTTTGGATTGGGAATGAAGTATTGCATTGCACAGCATCACAAAATTTGTATACTCCAGTCAACACTAGGGCTAAAATTAAAGTAGTGAAAATATAAAAAACAATGTTTAAAATACAATTTTGTATATCATTTTACCAGTTACAGACAAGCCTCCTTCAAATTGTAAGAATTTACGGTCAACCTGATCAACTTGCATAATGGCATCAGACAGACGATTGAAAGCAAAACGTCCTTCGGGCCCAAGGCTTGCCAATAAATGTATTGAATATCCAAAACTGTAATAGAAAATATTTTATTTATTATTTTATTTTGATCATTAATAATTTGTCTGAAACATACTCAGTAATAGTATCATCAGGCTTCATTTTCCTTTTTATGATATTTATAAGTTTAGTAATATCCTTGGGTTTAAGATTAAGGTTACTCAAAATACTGACACCAAAGTATAAATCAGACATGTGAACATCTCTAATATCTTTCTTCTCCAACATAGTATAAACATCCTAAAAAAATATAATTTATAATAACAGTTTGCAAGTTACCTAAACAAAACAAATTGTATTACTTGGACTGATTCGTCAACAATTAATTTTCCTGAACATATGGCAATTGCTTTCCATGCACTTGTTGAAAAATATACAGAATCTAATGATTTTGATTTCCCAACTAATTTCATTAATTTATCGCAAACAGCCTAGACATAACATAAATTTAATAATTTAGTAAGTACCTACTAATTAATAATAAATAGAAAAATATTTACAACTAATTTTACTAATCATTATTATTTATTAATTAACTAATAATAACTGTGATATTTCATAATGTTTATAGCCTTCAACAAATCATAGTTGGCCAGTTATTAACAGACCAAATAATTATAAATGTTCATTTTCTATATTTATTTATTGTATATAAATTGACTACCTAGTCATTTCACATTTTTTTTGGCAACAATAACGTTTACGTTGTTTTACAGGATAACATGATTTAAACAACTATGGTACTTTAGTTTTGTTTTAAAGCCATTAAAAACATTATGCCAATCACCATGATCTAGGGTCTTCAAACATTTTTCTTCAAAGGCCTAATAAAAAATGTACAGCTCTTACGGGTCAAAAAGATATAATTTGTAATTTAAAAATATGATAAATGAATGATTAAAATAATATTGAATGTAAAAAATAGTTCGATTACATTTCATATTTTTTAGTTTAAACAATACAAAAAATAGTAAATACCGAGTTCAACAATTTTAAAACACCCAAATGTAAACATTAAATAATGTACAGCTTTCAATAAATTATAATATTTAATACTGAATAGCACATTAAATGATAGTGTAAAACATTTATGGTGCAAACATAATAATTATAGGTAACAATTATTTTTTTCACTTATAATTAATCGGAAAAAAAAAACGGATAATAGTTGAAAAAATGTAGCTATTAATTTAAGTTGACTTGGAAACGTGTAGCATAATACAAACAAAAACATAACAAATAGGTAGTTAATTGAGATTAATATTTCATAATCAGAATATTAATATAAATCATAGACGTATGTAAACATTTCTACCTAAATGAGTTTTATATACATTTTATAGAATATAATTAAAAATTAAAAACTATGTAGGTATTTATTGATGAGTTTAGCTATCACACAATATATTATGGTCCACCACCATTTTGTGTACCAGTCAGGGTCCTGGTGGAAAATTTTGGGATGGTCAAGAGTGTTTGGCTTTATATTTTATAATATATGATAATGAGAAATTAGTATAACATTAGTATAAAATATAATTAATTAAATTATTAAACTGTACAGTAGCTGTAATTAAACACTAGAATCTAGGTGAGCCTGAACTTTGCTTATTTGGCCCTTATACTACCTTACTATAAATACGAGTATAGTATACAGTAAACAATGTTCTGTGTTTTTAACTGAAGAACCTAGTAATAAAAAATAATTATATAATTGTGTTTATATTTTTATATTTTTTAATCCGGCATGTTGAGAGATGGCTCAGTTAATTTATTAATCCATAGTCATAATTACATTATGTGATCATTTAAAAAAGTAATTTTTTCTCAGTGTTAACAAAACAAAAATTTTAGGTACCTACATATTCACTCCAAAAACTGTTTCTTTAACAAAGCTGTTTTAATACAATTTTATTTTATATAATTAAATTATATTATTTTAATAAAAAAATCTTATTTAATTTTAAATACATATATTTCTGGTGTATAGAAAATTAACTGTATTATAGAAAGATAATTCTTATGAATAAATTAGTTTTATATTATTCTAATTAAAATATAGTAAGCAACTAACTTTTTTTTTATAATTTTAGTATAATTTTCAAGAAAATTTCACATATTTCTACAGTTGTATAGTTGATATATGATCTATATCAAGCTTATATATAAACACCTAAAAATGAGTAAACTAGAAAGTTTATAAAATCTAAACATGACAATTTAAACATTTTTTTAAGCAATGAAAAAATGAGAATCTCGAATCTGAATATAATATATACTGACATACTGTGGTTGTTAATGTAGTTTATTTGGAGTAAAGTGGATACTCACTTGAACACCAGGTATTTGTTGATTAAGCTGTTGCAATCCAGATACAGCATAGAAGACATCAGACAAATTTTCAGATTCTAAGCCTGTAAGCAGCACACCCTTTAATTGGTCTTTGTCCCTAGATGTCAAGTATGTATCGACAGATAGACTTGACGAAAGGCATAGACAACTAGTCACCACGAAGAACAAAAATACTAAAACAGTAAACAATTTTAAATTGTATCAAATTAATTTACGTTATCCATCAACATTCAGACAGTGGTGATTTCTTACCAACTTTCATGATGAGCTCTAAACCACACACACCAGATAAATGTGTTAACCAATTTGTTTAACTATACTAAACCATCACAGAGAATTATACTGAGAAAAATCTAATAAAAATAAATTATTAGGAAGTCTGACGTAGCCGGCAGAATATTTTCAATTTTTGTATACTCAATCAATTATGTGTTATTGTGTTATCAGGAATAATCGTTAGGTTATGTTTACAACACGTCGTTTCATCAATGTACAGCAAAGACGTGTCATTTTTACGACCATTAACCATTTATCAGAACTCGGTTTATACCATAGCTCCTGATTGTAATCACAGTAAAGTTGTAGATAATATTATATAATATGTTTATTTACAACCGTGATTATAATATAAAGATTATATAATCTGTGGTACTAACTACTAATATCAATAACGTGCCTCTCATAGATAAAAAGCAACAAAAAAAATATGTTATTCCTACTTTGTACTCGAATCTCATATTTTCAGTTGTTTTCATTATTTATACAATTTGTTGTCTTTTAAGATATTTAATATTTCATACAAAATTGAATTGGCTTATAAAATATAAATCAAATATGAGTCATAATCTAACTGGTTTAGACAATTTTAAAGAAAAGCCAGAAAAAAGGATTCAACAATTGTTGATGTTAAGTTCAAAAGTTGAATTGAACACAAGTATAGCAGCTAGAAAGTATGATTTTGCACGATACAGCACTTACATGCTTCTACAATATAAAATACAATAATTTTACTTTGTTATAGATATTATCGATCAGGGCGAGAAATGATCAGTATGGCTGATGTGTATATAAAAGAAAACAATTTGGAACAAGCGTATATTCTCTACATGAGATTTATGACGTAAGGTTTTGATATTTAACTACTTTCATTCCATATTTCCATCTAACGATAAAATAAAACTAAAGTGCTGTACTTACACACATTTGGATGTTTGTTGTATTTAATACAATTTATATCTACGTGCACAGTTTATTATGATAGATTTATTAACTTTAGTTTGGTTGATAACTTGTTTTGTTTAATTTAATACATATCATAAACCTCATATTAAAAAATTAAAAGAATAATGAGTTTGATTATTTGTAATAAGGAATGTGAAACTAAACAAATGTATTTTTTTAATTATAAACTTACACAACGTAGCATAATTTTAATTATTTAATATATATTTTTATTTTTATTTTAGATTATTTTTGGAAACTATTAATGAACATCCAGATTACAAAAATGTTCCAATTGAAGAACGCAATTTAAATTATCGAGCACTTCGTGATGTTCTTCCAAAAACAGAAAATATAAAAGCTAAATTATTAGAACAGTATAGTACAGAATATGAGTTGTATCAAGAACAAAAAGTAAATATAATTTGATTATAGTATAATTTCTCTTATAGTACAACTACATGTTTTTGAATAACAAACTAATTTAGTCCTTTTCAGTTAATTTTGATTTGAGCACCCTAACTGTTAAATCAAATATAATTTTAAAAATAGGTAGGTGTATGCACATAAGAGGTAGGCTAGACATTTGAATTGATTTAATAAAGTATAAATGTATATTTAAGCATCCACTAAATACAATTTGCTAATACAATTAATATTCATCATAGTAGTTTATCTGACTTTTTGAACTAACTAATTCTTGACTTTAACAAGTTAATTATATTTAAATATTTAATAAAAACAAATTGTATGTATTCTGTATTTTGTGTCTTATGTGATATAATGATGATTGATTTGAGTTCACTACCCTTCCTTACCCTGATGAAATGAAATTTTTGGCGTAAAATGTAATGTGTTTTTATAATTGTATGTGTAAATTAAATTATAAAGAATTTTTGTTATTAAATATTAGAGCTGTTTAGGAATTTTCGTATTTGGTAAACCTTTTTTAACAGGATTTGTTTTTTGGGAACCAACAAAGAATGGATGGGAGCCATTTGGGTTGCACCAAAATTCTCTGATAAAAATATGTATGTTTATATTCACATTTTAAATTACTTAGCAATCATTGATACAAATTCGGCATATGTTACTGTATGCTGTATGCATGTAAAACTATTTTTATGATTCCAAAAGATGATAAATATTCATTTGTTTGTTAATGAATACATGATAGTTTTTTTAATCAAAAATAATACCTAAATAATTTAGCTTTTAAAAAATTAACAAGATAAAGGTAGTATGTGTGTTGATGGTAATTTTTTATTACTTTAGGATCTAAGGCTTGAATATAATATTTTTGGAAATTTATATTTCACACATTTAAAAGATATGCGGTTATTATTATTTATTAATAAAACAATTTTCTATTAGTGTAATATAATATATCTAACAAAATTTATATTGATAGGCATTAGAAAAATTTAAGGAAAAACGTGAACAAAAAGTATTAAATATAGAAAAGAGTGATACACCATCTAATAAAAATGTCACTCAAGAACATTTAAATTCAAATTTAGATGATGCCACCGTACCTGAATTAAATAATACTTATTTAAATAATCCTGCATCATTTGAATTAAGGTAAGATTTATTTTAAACTAAATTGCATATAAATAACATATCACATAATATAAATTATTATTTTTAATTAAACCTAATAAAATTAAGCAATTCATAAATATTTAATTATTTCCAGACCATCAGATCACAATTTAATCAATTTTACTGAATTGAATGATAATACTTCACCTTCAAATATACCTACACATTCAAATTCAAAAATACAATTTAATCAGTAAGTAGTTATTTTTAATTTGACCATATAGTGATATATAATAATTATTTAAGGTTGAAAAATTTTGACATCATATTTTTTTAATAAATATGTAATATACATCATAGAATGCTAAATATATTATTTTATTTAACATGGGCTTAGCCTGAAGTACAGTAATAAATAAGTAAATTATACATGGAAACGACAAAGCAGCAAAGTGAAACGTAACTAGGTATCTAGATTAATGTAAGAACATAAGGTGGATGTTAGCGAGTTGCATTATGCGGTGAATTGGATTGTTCAAACTATAATTAGTAGTATGCATAGTGATAGCAAAACAAGTGGTAGAGAAAGGCAGCCATGGAGGGATTCAAAAGTTGATTAGGATAGGAGCTTAGGTTGGATCAGTAGAACCATCGATGAGATTTTGGAGGAACTTTAAGTTAATGTCAACTCTTCTATGGGTTAGCGTTGATAGAAAAAGCTCATGGTGAAGTAGAGAGTAGTCATGCAATGTGTGAGGGATATTTAACACATGGCCAGCATAGGATAGAAAGTGCCTTTGGTATCATTCGATGATTGCAGTCGGAGGCTGTGTGGGGATCCCACAAAACTGAACCATACTCAAGCAGGGGTCGCACTAAGGAACAATAGAGAGCCTTCAGCTCAGAGGTAAGCATAAAGTCAAACAATATCTGCTCTACAAACACTAGTGTCTTATATACCTTATGACTTATTGATTTTATATAAAAGTGGAAACTAAGGTCAGCGGATAAAAGAACACTCAGGTCTTTTTTTACGACTGATTGATGGAAGATTAATATTGTTAACGAGTAGGTGTGGGTAATTAAAGTACGAGACCTGGAGAAGTACATCGACTGGCATTTATTCACATTTAATTCATGACCACTAGTCTTAAACCAATTAACTAGGGTGTTAATTTTGCCTTGCATTGGGAGATAGTCAAAGTCGTTGCTAATTTATCAGAAAATGTTTAGGTCATCTGTGAAAGCTAGGATATTACAATATTGGGATTATTTGCTTAATACTGTTCATAAACAGAGTAAATAGTAAAGGTGACAGGTGGCCCTCTTATGGAAAAATGATATACTATACTTATTTTAGTTATATTCACTATTAAGTATTGAATAATATAAATAATACTTTGTACTTACTATTTAACATTAAAAGTCATGTTTGAAATTAACTATTTTTTTTAGACATAAGCCTATTGTTGATAGAAGTACTAAACCAATGTTAAACAAGAATACTTCGAGCCCGTACAATCTTCGCCAAATAATAGTTCCGGGCAATTTAACAAGAAGATTCCTAGAACAAGCACAACGTAATACATCAAATAATTTGGAGACTTGTGGCATATTAGCTGGAAAATTGGTAATTTTATTTTATTTTTCTTTATAGTATTGCAGATTCATTTAAATTTGTTTGTAATTTTATGTTGAGTTGTATACACAATTAACAAACATTTTCATTTTAATAATTATTAGAGTTCTAACTGTTTAATTGTGACTCATTTGATGATACCAAAACAAAGTGGTACATCAGATTCGTGTACTACGATGAACGAAGAAGACATTTTTGAATTTCAAGACAAACAAGATCTAATTACCTTAGGATGGATACATGTAAGATTGATTGGATAATACAAATCATCTAATTAGTTATTTATAGTTAAGGCCCAAAAATAAATGACTTTACTATTTTTTTTTTTTCATAGACGATGATTTCTTATCTCTAAATGTATTTAAATACCATACAAATCTAAATATTTAGTTAATTTTCCATTTTAAATTCTGAGAAGAGCAATGGATTCATTACTTTTACAAAGATGTGTTTTTTTAGGTTGTAGCGACTACCTACTGTAATACGTATTTTAGACACAGTGGCGTCACTTGCTCACTGCGCTTGCTTGGACAATTTAAATCGAAAACATCCCTTGATTTGCCATGATATAAAATCCTTGAGTTGGTTTCAGAGTAACCAAACTTAACCTAACCTTACATCGAGAACTACCCAAGGTGGTTTTACATGTCAAGGAATGAAGCCAATCTAATAATTTTGAGAGCGAGCGCGTAGTGCTGTGTAAAGCTGGGTCTATGCGTATTATGATTGGGAGTTGTAATAAGTAATAAGCCCCTTTTTTTGGGGGTCTAAAGATTTTTTATAAGAGAAAATGCTTTGATTTTCAACATTAAGTGTTGTTTGTGGTAGACAATTAGATTTAGCTTGTATTTTGGGGATTATTTAATGTTTCTTAGGTCATCAACTTTCAAGCTCTTATCTATTTTTAAATATTAAGTATTTTTTCTTTCATACAAATTCTTAGTTATTAACATTTTTAAGCAGTTATTATTTATGTTTAACAGACTCATCCATCGCAAACCTCATTCATGTCAAGTGTAGACTTGCATACACATTATTCATATCAATTAATGATGCCAGAAGCTATTGCAATTGTTTGTGCGCCTAAATATAATGAGTAATATTATTTTATTGTGTTTTGATTACATATTTTATTAAATATTAAGTTTAATTTATATTGTTTTCAGATCAAATTTTTTCTTTTTGACACCTTATCATGGGTTACAAGTTATAGCTGATTGCAAATTTTTCAGTGGTTTCCACACTCATAACACAGATGGTGATATTTATGCTGTATGTATTAATCTATTATTATTATTGAATATGTGTTTTTATATGATTGCCTATTTAAAATTGTTTAACAACATTTATCGCCAACTGATTAATAACAATTTTAACATCACAGATTTTATTATTTATGCACTTCCAGGGAATACTGGACGATAAGTCCAGGGACAAAAGTCTGAGGATACAAAATATTATATTACAATTTCATTAATAATTATATAATATTATATTATATTTGATGACTTTTCTTTTAACTTAGCTAAACTTTACAAATATTAAAATCCCATAAAATAATTGAAAAATAATAGTCAATATAAAAGTAAGTTCAAAAATATAAACCTTTTGGCTTTCTATAATATGATAAACAATTTTTCAAATACCCATTGATCACTCTGCAGTCTATAATAATAATAATTATTATATTGTCCATTATTTTGAATAATAAGTGTAAAGAATAATTATCAAATATAATATAATATTAATATTGTATAAGACAATTAATTAAATTTTTAAAATAAATATTAATTATATGTGTATCTGCCTACCTATATAATATATTATATTATTGATTATCATTAATTTAATTATAAATGAACATTTAATAGAATACTTTGTATTGTATTTGTATAGTTTGACTATAAAAATGTGCTCGGATTTTTTTGTTCAGAGGTAAAAAAATGGGTCTCAACTTTTTTTAAACCAGACTTCATGACGAATTAACACTTTCAGTTAGGACAGAAAAAAAATTTTGTTTTTATTTTAATATTGTGGTTCTTGAAACGTACTAATCCATTACTGAAAAGCAAAATAAAGGACTACACTCCGCTCCACGGAGAAGGTGCCCGTTTCGCGCATGTAGACTGACGGCAGTGAGCATTACTAGGCTCCGTTTCCCCCACTTTGTCCCTTCAATACGTGTGGAATGCGCTAATTCAAACACAATTTGTTACTACTCTCGTGGTGCCGAAAATATAATTACATTTATGACCAAAAATATCAACTATCATAACTTTTTTATCACCAAATAATTTACTAGCAATATTAAAAACGTTTAATATTTTATTTTAGATTGCTGAACATTATGTATTGGATGACAGCCAGCTGGTCAATGTGGTTGATTTTAGATAGTATATTATTACAGTATTTTAAACATTTAAGTATTAATTAAGTGAAAAATTAAAATAGTAGTTATATGTAGTTATTGTATGTTCTGGTGTAATCTTGATTACTCTACAGATTTCCTAAGATTCTCAAAAAAATTTAAAAATAGTCATAAAGTTTTTTTGTGAATTAAAATAAAAATGAGTTATTTCGCCTATGTTCTTTGTGTGACTTCAGATTCTATGTATCAACTTTTGACTTATCTCTAATTTTTCTTGTTTTTTTTAATTTCACATAAATTCTAAATATTCAACATTTACAACTGTTTTCTATTTTTCTGATTACTAAAAGTCCAATGCCAGTTACAGTTTTCAAACTTATTCTACATTTATTAACACTCAAAAAAATCAAAAAGTCAATCAAGTTGTTACTAAGTTTCTGCCTAGAATAACATCATGTGTGAGCAAATCAGATTTGAGTTTGTGACATATGCTAAAATCTTTTTACATACATATTATGTGTATGTATCTAATTTGTGCTGTTATTGATTTTAATTATTATTTATTGAAATTCATCATAATTACTCTGGTATTTACTTGAATATTTGTGTGATCTAACAATATCCATGGTTTCAAATAAAATATATAATATTCCAACACGTTTTCCATTTTAAGATGTATTTTATTGAGCTCTGTAAGTCATCAAAACATACAGTAGGTAGTAGGTACCTATCTACTAAAACTAATTCACATTTGGTGTACCTAGTAGTTATTAAGACTTGGTATTTGTTGATTCTAAAAATAAATCTCATTCATTATTTTTGGGTAATTTGGTAATGATTTATTTCGATTTTTACTTAATGATTTATAAAATATTTTCTATATTTATGTCTTTATGTGAACCTTTTTAAATGATTAGGATTTAGGACTTATTATATTTAAAATTATGTCATATTCTCTAATAGAAATTGACCGAATAGAAATAATTTTGTTGGATAAATCATGAACATATTTATAATTTATATAGTGTTTTTGGAAAAGAGATTACTAAAACAGTCAAATTGTATTATACTTTTCATTTTATAGTTTATTTTAACATTTTAAATAATACAAATAGAATATTTGTTAGTGGTTGTTGATTGTTATTATTGATATTTTTTTTTTTTATGTTAGACAAATTTCCTATTTATCTTAGTACTTTATTGACTTACTTTATTTGTTTATTAACATTATATTAAATAAATACTAACTAATTAATATAAATATTAGGTTTAACCAAGAAAATCATTTAATTTTTAAGTTATCTTAAAAATGTATCTTTTGTCTTTTATTCCTGCATACCATTAAATATTTTTGTACCATAAATATAAATATATATAGTATATAATATGTTAATACATTTTTTTGATTGATGTACTTATTATTTTATTTCAGTAAGTTCTGCAAATATTTTATATTTGTATGCATAATCCATAATAAAATATGTAACTAATTTTAGAATATAAATAAATATTTATTTAAAATTATTTTTAATACATCCAGATTTTATTTAATTATTAATTACTTGTCAAATTATGACAAGGTAAATTACGAGTAATAAGGTTAGGTTAAATCTATATTATGTTAATTAATTGGTATAGTAAATCTAAAAGTGTTATGATTCATAGTTAGAATTTTGAAGTAGTACAAACTTATACCTGCAGAAGTAAAGACTGTTTGCATATTATGTTTTTTGGCAACATATGACATGTATAAAAAACAAATACATGATAAATGTCATCATTCATCACTAATCAGTAATCACCTATATTGGCTTATTAGTTTTGTCACAGAATTTATTCTGTAGTTTTGTTACAGAATTTAACTATTTAAGGTAGTTCCAACTATCTTAAATTGTGTTTTTTTGTTATGTGTAATCTATTATGTTTTTTCAATGTTTACAATGCTCCCTCCCGCTCCACAAAATTATTCCTTCATTACCAACACCAAAGAAGCACATCCTGAGAGAATTTTGTAAAGAATACCTTCTATGTTGGAATAAAGAATCCATCAAGCTTAAATACTTCTTTAACCATACACCTAACAGCGACACAGCTAAAATAGAAAACTATTGGGTTTACTAACTTCATCTAACAATTAACGGTGGCAACTTTTACTCTGTAAGAAGCTTGGATTTTAATTCGCATTAGAGCAAAAGTACACTTCTGAACATAAATCCTAGTGTCGTAGCTAATCGTATTGTCAAAACCTCCAGAGAGTCCATAGACAACCTCTTAAGCAACACTTTAATCGCTGAACAACAAAACTTAAAATAGAGGACCCCAACTCAAATCAGAATTTGCTTGCGATTTTTCTACTAATGAAGTATAAGTGGATATAAACGGTCCGAAAACTGGGAGAGGTACTGGGACTAGAATATTTTCTCAGAATTTCTAAAGAACTGTGGCTCACAAATACCTAATTAAAAGATATAACATTGACATTTTTAATTTTTAGTAATCTCCCAATAACATTTAAGAAGTTCAAAATAATTACAGTTCTAAAACCTGGAAACCCCGCTAACGATGTAGCAAACTACAAGCCAATCGCTCTGCTTTGCACTTGTTATAAATTGCTTGAAAGACTTATCTACAATCGCATAATGCCAATCATTAACCAGCGTGTCCCTATCAAACAAGCCGGTTTTAGACCTAAACATAGTTTTTGCGACTAAGTCTTGTCCTTCACTAGTCACCACTTTCATAGAAGGTGGCTTCGAAAAATGCTTAAATACAGCCGCCACATTAAATGATCTATCTACTGCGTACGATATATGGTGTAGAGAAAATGCCTGCTCTTCAATTTTCTGCAGATAATCCCCTGTCAGACTTTAACAAATCGTTTGAACAATACATATTAAGTAATCGTCACTTTATCATCCATCTAGCATTAATGACAAAAAACTAAAAAGAGAAAACTGAGCAACAGGCTTCCCATGTTATTGCTTAAGATTTAACCTATACTACCAAGACAATCTCCAAGCAATTCATATATGCGGATAATACCTGTGTCGTAAAACAGGATAAACTATTTGCTAACTGCGAGAACATGCTCAGATCTGCAAACTGTAGACAAGTTATTAAAACAGTGGAAGCTCACCCCAAATCCCCGTAAAACTGAAATCGCAGCTTTCCATCTTAAATAACAGAATGGCTGACTACAGTCTGGAGTCTCTGGACATCTCTTTTCGGGGACACAGACTAAAACATGTACCTAACCCAAAATATGAGGACTTCATCCTTGACACGTCACTTAACTAACGTTACTCCTAAAATTGGCTCCCCCATCAACACAATACAAAAACTGACAGTGACAGATTGAGGCACTGACTTTTCAACGCTGAGAATTTCCACTACTGCTTTGGTCTGCTCTGACGTTGAATACGGACATACCGAATTGATTAAATAGTGCTCACTCTAAAAAGGTGGATACCAATCTCAATCAATGTATGCATATGCGCATTATATCAGGTACGATCAAGTCTACCCCCTCGATTAGTAAACTCGAACTTAGTAATAACATCTTCCAATCCACGACTCACGAGTATTCGAAATTATGCAATGGTTTGTATGCACGTAGACTTAAGTCGCGGAGAAACCTACGTGGGAAACCACTTTTGAACTAAACATTGTTAATTACAACTCAGAAAAATGCTGCAAAGATGAATGAAAAGAATCAGGAGCCAGGACCAAGAATTTATTCCCTCATAAAGAAGCCTATTTAGCTACAACCTACCCCCGAATAATCTGGATACATACTAGTATACTACATACTTTGCCGCTTTTTTGTAGCCTACAGCTTAGCTCTTAGCATAGAATGTCAGAAATACTCAGAATGGATTAAAATGCTGATCCTTTGATAACGCTTATCGGCTATAAATTTATCAGTGGAAGAACTGACCTTATCAGTCATCACCACTAAGATATATGATCACGTCATCTACTTTCTAAAAAAATCTGGGTATGGTATGTGAAGGTACAATAAATTTATACTATTATCATAGATTACTATATATAATTTATATGGTATCACAAAATTATTGCTAGTTGCTACCTAGTACCTACCTACTTTATTACTTTAAGTTACATTGTTACAAAATAATAAGTGTTACTAATCTATGCATTATTGCATATTGTTATAATAATACAGTAGTACAATATTTATTATTTAGTATTATTTATTTTATTACTATTTAACATATTAACCGAAGTTTATATGTTTTGTGGAACAAGTATTGATTGAACACTAATGAGTTCTGGGTAACTATTTACTTGGAGACATGTCATGGCTCATAGACTTGGCCGGTAAAGCGGAACATTATCTGGATAAAATCGATCAGAACACAGCAGTAGTTTTACAACATCAAAAGGAAAAGCCACTAAAAGACGTTTTCAAGTATTTTTTTGAATTCAGTACATTTACTTAATAATGGTATATGCACATTGCAATATGTTCTAATAGTATTTTTATTTTGTTCTCTTTTAAGAACACCGGTATCAGAAAATGTGTCGATTGAAATTGAAAACAAACCCATTACGTCGGTACCTAGTTCGCCTGCCACAAAGTCATTATCCAAGAAACCCAAAAGTGATTCTCGCATATCTGATGAGCATCTACTGCAGTATTTAAATAGTCATGATTCAACGATCCAATCTCAAGTTTGTCATCATCGTTTATATATGCTAGGCTCATCATTTATTATTTGAATCTAACAGTAAGTATTACACTTAGTATGATGGTCAATCTACTACTTATATCGATAGCTCAATTGATCCAATATCCAAACCGTTGACTGAAGAAAATCATATGTTGAAAAATGAAATAAGGACTTTAAATAATGAAATGTCATTAATGCAATACAAGTTGAAAACTGCAGATAAAGGTATTTATTTTTTACTATTGAATTTTCAATTGTTATTTAATCTTCATTTTTTTTTTTTTACAATTTAACTGCTTACAGATATTAATCAAATATCGATGGAACTTGAAGTAAATAAAAGACATTCAGCTAATTTGGAAAAGGAACTGCAAGAAGCTCATATACAATTACGAAATGTCCAAGATGTCATGTTCCGGTTGAAAGAAAAATCTAAAACTAGAGATTCAGTAACTGGAGAAAATAATATGGTTTCTGACAATTTAATACATGAAAACCAAATTTTACAAAACGAAATATCAACGCTACTCAAAAGGTAAATTTAGTGTTAGGTATTTATTATATACCATATAAGAAATGTGTTTTATTTAAAATTTACATATTGTATTATTGTGTAGAATTGAGGTAGACGAATTAAGGATAAATGATTTAACCTCAGAAAAATTAAATCTGGAAATGGCATTTAACAATATCCAATTTGAGAATAAAAACACTGTTAAAAAGGAAATATTAACAAACTTATTTAGTGAATGCAATACAATGACTGCATTCACCAAAACAAATTTGAACAATGTTGCTCTAAAATTAAAAGAATGTTTGAATGATTTAGAAATTGTCAATAAACAAGCAACCGCTGATCAAGGGTAACAATTATTATTTAATTTGTTGTTAATAATAATACTATGATCTAATTCTAATAATTATTAAAAATGTTTAAGGGATTTAAACACTTCAGAATTAGAACGTTCAGACATATTAACCAAATTAAATGTCATGAAGAGTAATTTACTCTCTATTGATTGTGGCTTACAGAAGTCACTGCACGATCTTAGTGGTTTTAAAGAACGACTTGCCAATACAGATTTAGAGTCATTTGTAGATGATGGTTGTAGTAATCATGCAGACATTACTAATAGTCAGGGAGTAATGAATGAACAGATGTTATCACTTAAAAAGGCTGTGGCATGTAAACAAGCTGAACTAGAACAAGTGTTAGCAGAAAATAATTCAATGGCAATAAGAATTGAGAGTTTAGAGGTATGATTTAAAAACAATATTTATGACAATAACTTTTAATATCCTATTTGAACCATTCTTAAATAATTTTAGACAAGATTGAAAAAAGAAACAAATGTAATAATCAATGTTAATGATACAGATGATGGTAAGAATGTTTTGGCTAATTGTATTGTAATTTTGATTATGTCACTTAAATTTTGATTTTAGCTAAAGCCAAAGTGCCTCATTTCATGTTAGAAAAAGCATTAGATACCAGTGTTGCAAGAGGAGTTAAACGTGCTTATACCAGCCTAGATTCATTTGGTTTAAGAACGGGAATGTATTTACGGCGATATCCGTTACTAAGAACTATATTATTTGTTTATGTGGTGAGTATTTTTCAATACATATTATCATCTAATAAGTAGACTACTTTATAAAGTTACAATGGTTTTTATTTTAGTTAACATATAATTGAGAAAATCAAATATTTTGTGGCATGTATTATACATGAAATACAATGTTCCATCGTGTTTAGCTTCATGGCTTCAATTTTTAAAATAAATCTAAAATATTTTAATAATTTAAATGAAAACAAAAAAATACAATTAAAACTTTCTGTGATGCAATATTTATTAACAGTTTAAAAGCACAAAATATTGTCAACAATAATAACAAAATAATAATCATAGACAGCTTTTGATTCATATTTTCTATTTACACTTTACAATTTTACATAATTATACACTTCTGTACAAATACTGAAATACACATATATTTTTCTTTGTAAAATATATGTTAATAATAATGTATGTTACTTTGAAGTTAATATAACAAAAACAATAAAAACTGTTAAATGGTCAAGTTGCTTCCATCTGACAAACATAGCAAACTTGTATTCCTCTGAATCCATTAACCATTTGTCTTGTTAGTTTTAATGTAACAGTAAATTGACCTAATATTAATCTTAAAGATTATTATCTGTGTTTGTACATTTTTTTTATGTTCGATTTTACTTTAAGACTTACTAAGATTTTAGTTTAGTTATTCTAAGTTTTAATAAATAATATGTTAGATACTTAGATAAAAGGTAAATACTAAATTTACTGTAATATTAAAACTAACAGCACCAAATGTATTCTGAAGGTTGCTCAATGCAATTTTAACATATTTTAAGATTTAGATAACACATGCTATTAATATGATCCTCATTTTAATTAATTCAGAAAATATAATAACCGACTAGTTTAAAAATAGGTATACAATATTAAAAATATTTTGTTACCTACTAAGTTTGTCGTAATTATTTATTAAATAATATAATGTGATAATTTTTCAGGTGATACTTCATTTGTGGGTGATGTTGATACTATTCTCTTACACTCCAGAGACCAATTAAAATTGCACTCATACTTTATTATTACTGCAAACATCTGTATATTCGAGTACTCAATTAATCAAACACTCATTTTACATTATTTAAATGTAATAATATTAATTATATTGTTGCTATTTTATTTTTATTTTTGGAATATCATTTATTTAGAATTATATATAAAGGAACAGTTTTATTAATTAATTAATTTTATTTACAATATTTCTATCCTTAGATACTTATCATAATAATACTAAATCAGTAACCCATATCCAATTACACTGAAATTTACCAATAATATTATTGTTTTAAGTAACATCAACATATTATAATATTATACAGACATCAAATAGATTATAATATATTTATAACATACAATGATACCATTTTTTGACAGGTCAACAGGTTAACTGTTAATTATATCATCTATCGTGAGACTTTTAAAATATAAATTGAAAAATAATAATTTTTACATTATTGTTTTAGTAACCCTCGATCAAGTGTTTTTTATTAGTCAATTAGACCTTTACAGGAGAAAAACTTTGGATGATATGCAAGTCGGAAACTGATGTAGGTATGATTGTCTAAATTCTAAATTACCAGTGGTGTCATTGTATTAAACATTTTTCTTTGGTGACTCAGTTTGGTTTGATTGTCATTCAACATTCTTTCTTTCCTGTGTTTCATATTTGTATAACATATTTTGGTAAATTTTGTATGTATTGATAAAAGTGTAATACAATTTTAAAACTAAAAACAAAATACAATTAGGTCTTTCTTAAAATATTCACATAATTATACTAAGTACATCTTAATTTTTACATAAATAAATAATAACCTATCATAACATTATTATTATACATAAACTTTTTATAATTTTTTTCTTCAAATTCCAAGCTATATAATATAATAAAAAATAAATTGTTTTAACATATGATTTAGAACTAAATACATAAAAGTACACTTGGACGACTTGTGTGTATAGTATGTTATTTATTCAGTTTTAAAAACAATCTAAACCCGTAGTGAGCAATAAATAATATTAAAAATATGGAATTAGGTATTTTATCAAACAATAAAAAAATGCAACTTAATAGCGAGCGACAATGGAAATGAAACAATGAGGGTTAAACAACTTCAAGTCTATAGATTAAACAGTACACAAACGGACTTTGCTCCGCATTTCTGGAGCACACAATTCCACTGTTATGAATGAATTTATAAATCTTTGGAGGTAATTTCCAAACTCACAACCAACTTTTTTTTATTACAATTATTTATAAATATTAAAGAATAAGACATACATTAGGTAAACAATAATGAAAATTGGAATTGAACGTGTAAATCCCAAGGGGTAGCTACGGCGTCAACAGCGATGAGCCTATCAGAATATCCTAACTTATAAATGCTCATTGGTATTTGGTTTATTACACATTTAGATCAGTCTGTATTAATAAATAGTAATACAAATTAAATTTAGCAATTAAAATGTAATTTGTTCGTTATAAATATCACTGGTACGCGCGGATATAGTAATGTTTGACGATATTTCTAAAACACAAATATACCTATGTATTCGTACAATATTTTATGGACCACAAGTACATTAATACTTAACAGTTAACACCGTCGCACGGTTTAAACTATAATAATTATAATATAAACGAATAGGTATGCTACTACTAATAATAATAATAAAAATAATAATAACATTTAGATGATTAGGTAGGTATCTAATTAAATTATAATATAATCGACCTATATATACAATAATTTCTTATGTTACGTGCGAGTGGTGTGTGTATGAGTGTGTGTGTTGTCTGTTTTACTGAAATTTAGACCAAAAAATCAGCCTGAAGTGGCTGCAGTGACGTCTTCCTCGTCCTCTTCCTTCTCATCATAATATCTTGTAGGTACGATGATTACTAAAACTACTATTCCTCAGCGGCAGCAGATCTGACGTTCCTCTGTCTTTGTCTGTTCTGAACCTGCACCACCCTCCTGTGCAACGCCGACAGCTTGTGCTCCAATATTTGGTTGTGGTGGAACAGCTTCATTGTCTGGATGGTAACTAGCAACAGAGCTTGTCTCTTGCGTATCGCGTTCAAATGCTCTTCGGTTACTGTTGTCGCTGGTACCACATCCGACGATGAGGACGATCCGTTATCCCGTCGTAGTAACCTTTTCACATCGTCCGACTACAACATAAAACCCATCATAAATACATTTATATGTGTAGTCTGGGTAGAGGTGCATTTTATCTTATTTGGAACACAAGTATTTTACAGTAAAACACACATATACCATATGTATTGTCATGCCTTGAGCACTTAAACCTGTTGCTCAAATATGATAATGTTAACTGGGATAGTACCATTGTCCTTTAGTAGGTAATAGGTACCCAACTATTATAACTACCTATTAGTTCCTATCTAGCTACTTAATTATAATTTATAATTAGTTAAAATTTCACAATCAAATGTTTATAGTAGGTACCTATTGAATATAGTGTAAACTTTTAACCCTTGAATCGGTTATGATGCGGGTTTATTATAAGAATTATAAGAACCTACTATGTTTTTAGAAAGTGGTCGAAATTTTTTTATTAATACTTTCGGTATTGAATTATATGGGCTGTTCTGATGTATTTTATATGAATTATACTCAGTATATAATACCTAATTGATAATATATATATTACTTTAGCCTATTACAGGCTAAAAAATAGGTTTAAGGATAACATTTTATATAAAAAAAGGTCGTTTTCATTTTAAGGATTTTTCGACATATTTTATTGTTTTTATGGTTTCATAATACGAGTATTAGACTTTTAGAGTATCTGAGTATACGTATACATATATAGTACCAATATAGTATAAAAAAATATATACTTTATATTCGCCGTATTTAATCATGGGTAAACTGTATAGGTAACATAGAAAATTTACCAATATGCAAAACAAATATTTGGTGTAGAATTAGAATAAAGGAGTGCCGAAGCGGCTATATGCATTATGTACGAACCAATTTAATGTTTATAGTTAATTTCTAAAATATTAAATATTGAAAATTGAAGTTGTTAGGGTGTAGGAATTAGAATATATTTTGACCGATCCTTTACAACTGTCATTTATGATTTGATATTTCATACCTTATATTAACAAAAATAAATATGTATGTAGGTAAACATGCTAATCTCTGGTCAGGTGACACTACTAAGGGTCTTCCTATTCGAATATTTCATAATGTCATATAAACTTTGTCATCATACTTACTGATTATTGTAAAATAGATTGTAAATATATGTTAAAAATAAAAAAATAAAAATAAATAGGTAAACATGTTTATACTTTAAATCTAATATTAAACAACAGCTACTATAGGTATAGATACTACCAGCTGTGTACAATGTACCTCATTGTACTTGTATATAAAATATAGCTAAGTGCCAAAGTTGTACTTCCTATTGTAATTATAATATTAACTTATTAAATATTAATCTAAAAATTAGTGACGTTGAAAATGTATACCTTTAATGCTGAAGCGTAGGAGGAATTTTTTTTACTGCTAAACGTTGAATTGCGATTCCTTAGACAAGGGTTCCATTGATAGTTAGTTCGAACATCTGTAATCAAAAAAAAAATTATTTCACAATATTCTTTATTTTTTTAAATTAATAGCTTTAATTAATGATAGGCATAGATCGTAATAACAACTTAAAAGTATGAACTACAATATTTTCACAAAGATTTTTGAAATTATATACTAAGGTGTCGAGTGTCTATAAATAATTTTATCAATATTTTATATTTTTCTTATGGTTAATAGGAGGAGGCGAAGTGTTGACAGTAGCAAATTACATATCTTAAAAAACCAAATGAAAATTATAAAAATATTAACGAATTAAATAAGTTTACAGATGCCACTATGACACGAGCACGTAACTAGGTGCTTATTTGGAGGGAAGCGATTAACGTAAATTCATAATCATAATTTTATTTTTAATTTTTTTATTAATTATTAGTTACATAATGCGGACTTTGGGAGGGGCGATCGGCACTACCACCCCCTAAATTACGTGCCTACTACGCCAGATGAATGATGACACTTTCTATTATTTCCGCATTAGCAGCATTATTCGGCCAAAGTTAATCCCAGAGTGTAAAGGCACATTCACAGCTATACGTGCCTACGTCGTTTGTCGTGTCGTGCAAGAGCGTGGTAACTAGGGTTACAACTGGTAACGATATTGGTTTAAAAGTTGGTTATTTTTGGTATACTCGGTTGCAACTTGGTTATTACATGCTACCAAAAGAGTAATGTCCAATCACAATGCTATTTGATCGACACGACACACAACGTAGCTGCAAATCTGGCTTAAACCACTAGCAGCAGATTACTAGAAATTTCTTAAGATTTACATAAATGTCCACTGTCCAAGAGATTCCTAAAGATTTCACTCAAAGCTGAGATTAATTTTCCGGTTCCCTTTTGGTACCGCCAGACGTTAAATCGGTTCTGTTCTTTGGCAACATCATATTATTTAGGGTATTGAAACAGTAATATTTTAATGATAAAGAAATCATAATAAAATCTACAAACTTTATTTGTGTTTTTATGAACTGTATTTCTGTATATTATATTATTATGTAATTTTAAATAAATTTTTATGAGTAGATAAATATGTATTGATTATTTGGTCATATAGTATTTCAAAGTTAAATTTATATCTTATAATAAATAGGTACTACAATATTAGAAAAATATTATTGTTGACAAGTTGAATATAATATGACTGAATTATTCATACCAGTGTTGGCGCAATAAGAAATTAGCACTGAGGGAAGAGGAAAAAATTCTGCCCCCTCCTCAAAAAAAAATACATTGGTCGCCTCAAAAATCGTAATCAACCGTATAGATTTATAATTTTAGACATAAAATAGAAAAAATAATAAACGCGATCGATTAGCAATTGCCATCTGGCATATAGGCGCCTTTAAGTTTTAACAATATAGATGAATTGTCACACCTATACAATTATGGTGTTATCAATAATGATGAGTAGTATTATGTGTGCTAAATAATAAAATAATAAAATATGTTAACAGTACACAATTTAATAATTGGTGCATTATATAATTACATTGTACTCACACGCGCGTTATTAGTGCGTTACATGTTATGTACCTACCTACAATTCATACGTCATGCAGTTCATGCAAGTACACGCATAATATCCCACATACGTCATGCAAGATGCAACTATGCAAGTACCTACACAAAGCGTTAATATTATATACGTCATGCGTTTTAAATAATAATAAATTATGCATGATGGAATGAAATGGGGTGGGGTACAAAACGGAGAGTATTTTTAGATGAAACTTCTCTACTCCGTTAATTTAAACGCGTAAAACGATTTTATTTAATAAACGATTAGTCCAATCAAAATGGATTTACAAATCTATCTAGACTCTAGAGTCCAAAACTAGATTATTGCGTATCAACATTTTTAGAAAAATTTTAAATAAAAACAATACAGTTAGGTTGTAGTTTTGAAATAGAAGTTAATATTATATTATACACCCACTGTTTTGAGAAACAAGAGGAACATATTATAGTAGTGGTTTTAAATTAATAGCAATTAAAAATAATTATATAGGATAAAAAAACACTCGAGTTTTCAAAATATGTTGGTATATTATTAATTTATGGTGCGTATATGTATCCACCAAAATAAATGTGGTGACAAATTTAATAAACTTTCAATACATGATTTGTGTTTGTTTTATTATTTTATAATTAGCCCATATTCTGTTCAAATATTTGAAAATACATTCATCACAGTTTATTTTTTATTTTTTATTTCGCAAAGTAATCGGGAGAAGTATATTACAGTACTTAGACTGTAATCAGTTTACTGCATAGGCATTTAAAAATAATACCTACATTTGAAGAAAATATATTATACAACCAAGTTGTAACGATACTATAATGTTAAATGATATTGTTCTCACTTGTCAAGAACTGCGCATACTACTAACACACGAAAACATCATCTTCCTAAAATTAATAATATTCGAAAATTCAGGTACGTATTATATACACTTGTCGATTGAACCTGTCCTGTTTGGTAAGGTAAAATAAATTATTTCTCGTGTATTATAAATATTTTTAAATTTTGCTATTCTGCCAACAAACAGAAAACAGGTGCTTGAGGCCTACGTTTGGGATAAATATAAATACCCAACTTCAAAATATGAACACAAAATTGTGTTAGGAAAAATTTTGTAGTTAACTTGAAAACTATAAGAATGACGTGTTATTAAGACATATTATAATACAATTGTATTATTTATAATTTAAGATAAAAAATCTACTATAATTTTAGATGCTAGAGCAACTATACTACAATCAAATTTTCGGAAAAAGGCAGGTAAGTACTTCATTAATCACTTGTTCCCACTTCAATCATGGATATTATTTACAGGGCAATATCCAAAACAAAATTATTCAACATAAATGTTTTCTCATAACAAACATAATTTGCAATTATTATTTAGACATTTAGTGTCATTGTGAAGCATTTAAGCATAAAACATTATAATGCCCTACTCTTTGGTACATTTTATCGTGCGAACTGTTATAGCTATGTTTGAAACTGTGCCACCGAATTACATTCATATAAATTTTTCTATAGTAATACTGTGTTATACATTTCGTCTAAGCATTAACGACAAAAATGATTGAATTTATCATTAATTTAACGTTTTTTAAACTTTGTATACAAATCCTTTATAAAACAGATGCCTATTTACGGTATACGCAATCACAATAATATAATTTTAATATAAAGTGTAGGTAGGTACATATTATAATGTGGCTGAAGTATGGCTGTTTATTGCTTATTTACTTGTATCTTATCCATTCAGTCGTTAAAACTAAGTTTTCCCATCGGTGAAAATATTTGTTTGGTAAATAATGTTATTTGCTAAAAATGATATACCTTTTCGTCAGTTTTTAAATAATGTATAATAGGTATATAATCAAATAATGACACATAATTACGCAAATACAATAAAATAATAAATGCAAAAATGCACAAAAATATTTAGTCATTTTATCAGCAGTAGGTACCTAGTCATTTATTTTATGTGCCACGAGCCGATCAGGCAGAAACTATGTTAAGAATTATCCAAAAATTATAATGAATTAAGATGAGCAAGGCTGTTTGATTTATACATAACGTCGGCCTTGTATCTCGGTTTTTGTTTATCAACCGGCACGTGTATTTAATAATGCAGTTGCATATACGATTAGGTTACCTCGGGAAATGTACTAGATCACCAAATAATACTATTATACCTACTTATACAATAACCGCAAATTATAATCATTTTAATATGTATTTACAGTTAGAGATAAGTTTCGTTCCCGTATTCATTATAATTCAACTATTAATTTGTGAATTGTCTGTATATTATGTATATTATGATACTATATGGCTGACATTCGTAAGAAGTAAACTGGCATGATGATTCACTATACACCTCAACTAAATTTATATCTTTCATTCTTCCAAAGCATTAAAAAACAGCCGACTGTATATTTAGTACACACTAAAAAATGTACCGACAAAATATACACCACCATTTACATTAATTAATCAAAGTAATTATATTACATTGTTTTAGTTTAATAAATAAAGTACTAAGGTACATTTCCTGACTTCTGTTATATAATATATTTATTATTTACACAACATACTAGGAAGATGAAAACATAAATATAATTTTAATTTAGAAAATATTAAACAAAATACGCAATAATTCTGATATTCTGATGAATGATAATCCTGATGCCTGATGAAGTGACGACACATTTATAGAACTTGACGGTCGCCATGAAAACTTTTCGATCAAAGTTTAATTTCAAGAAGTCAAGGACTGTAGAGTTCTATTATTATATAACAACTTATTTTTACGATATCAATTAATTTAATACGTCTTATGGGTTATCACTTATCTGCGATAAAGTATATCCCCAGACATCAAGTACCTAGGTATTTAAAAAAATACCTACGAATTATGATATATAGGTAGCTCATATTTCTTACTGAAATAATGATAACCTGTATTAAGTTGTGTATTGTCCTAATGGTTCGAGTTGGTATCAACATTCAAAACAAATTTTGAGTACAAAAGAAGTACATACGTTATTATAATACAACAATAGATAGTACCTACCTATAACAGCAGGTTGATAGAACCTTATACATATAATATAAGGATTTTATTCGTACAATTTTAATCTGTTAATCATAAAGTGATAAAGCTTCAATGCGTGTTTGAATAACCGTTAACGTTATAAATGTGTTCTATAGTTGTTTATAAGAATGTCAACAATGAAGTACAACAATAACGAAATATTTCCATTGTTTAAAATATATACAATATTCAAAGTGCATAGTTATAATTTTGTTTTTAAATTTTAAAAGTAAATAAAAAACGTGTCAAGTTGTGTAAAATATAATAATTTTTTTATTAAACGAAATCCTTATACTAATAATACTTATTTATTTATAGCTTATTCTTATGTAAAACATAAGTGAATAATACTCAATAG